TATATATATATATATATATATATTCCCCCTGGTGTTGGGATTTCTACCTTCCTCATATTTTAATCTGTTTCTTCCGGGTGTATGTTTAAACTCTTGTTTTTAAGAACCTTTATGTTTTCGACCACTCCTTCATAGAAAGGTTCTGCAAACCCAGATTGCTGGCTTGCAGCGGAACACCTGCTGGATTTGATGTGGATTTAAACAAAAAACAGCTCTCTCCGACTCCAGTCTCCGCTGCTAGGGCGAGAGCTGTGAAGCTGCCCCGCCCGGAGTGCAGATGGTCGAACAACGAAATCTAAATACCCCAGGACTTGTTACTTGCCTACACCGGAGTTTTGGCGCCCGGAGAGCTGGAAAGGGGCGGATCTTCGGCTGGAGTTTGTGCCCAAGGCGAGCCCGAAGCTTGGCCCAGCTGCTAGACAAGCATTCCACCGACCAGGCTAGCACCCTCCCCCACTGAGATTCTGTCGCTCCTCCCGGCGCCCTCCATCCCTGGCTCAGGCACGTGGAAAGATTACACTTCGGGGAAAAAACTGACCAGGCCCTCGAGTGCCCAGGAGCACAGAACGTGGGCCCGCACGCGGTCACACCGGGCCAGATGACGCCCCTTCTAAGTGAGGATGGAGCAAAGACTCGAGGATCCGCGGGTCTCTACTTTGGCAGCAGCTTCGGTAACTGGTTCAGGAGGTCTGAGAAAGAACGACTTGTGAACACAATGGAAATGACAGGCGCTCCAGCTAGGCTCGGGCAAGGAGACGCTGCGCGAGGCTGGACGCAGCCCTTTCTCCTCGAGGTCATTCTCGCCCTCTCTCAGCGAGCACGCGAGCTTGACTTTGATCTCAAACGCCGAGAGAAAGCAACGCGAAATCATTGGGCCCCAGATTCTCTCAGAGCGCTCTCCCCTTGTTTAGCAGCTGTTAGAGAAGGGAGTCAGGAGAGGTTCTTTCTCCTCGTTTCTACCAGGCAGTCAGTAATAGTAAATATCTGCCTTCTTCCCAGATGCCTTGAAGATTCTAAGCGGAATGGGGGGGAATAGCAGGGAGGAAATGTCATAGGTTTGAGGCCCCCAAAAGCGAGGGCTCATCAGGCAGTGCTTTCCTGCCACCTCGCATTTGGGAATCTTAGCTTGCTTCGTTGTGCACGCCTCTCATGCGCACAGCGATTCTTGTCACTCATAAGCTGCGGACCCTTCCACACGTCCTCTGGCCAAGGTCACGTGATCCCATCCCCCACCAGCAGTCAGTCCTGCTGTCTCTGGCCTTTTCTCCGCCCCCTTCCAAGAAGTTTCCATTCGTTTTATTTTTCCCTCAGCCCGGGGTCCTCGGTGATAGACTCCAGCGTAGATTTTTAATTGCCTCAATCAGCAGTCTTTCTCCCCAGCCGTCAGTCAAAACCTAGACTGCTGGTCCCGCGACCCCGCGCTCAGCTGCACAGGAATGGTGCGCCTCCGGGGACGGCGCGGTTCAGTAAGCAGGCACTAGGCTCTGCTTATGAACTGAAATGAGCCCTTCAGCGCCATAGATGCCCTTCCCCCACTGTCTCCTAAGCTTGGGAACAGCGTCTGATTCTGGCCCAGCAACCAGGGCTCTGGAGGTCGCAGCGACCTTAGCACCCGCATTGAAGAAGGCTGCGCATTCGCGCTTCCTTCCCGGCAGCAGTGGCCAGACCTCAAAAAATAAGCCAAGCGATGCATATATAAAACTCGCCTTGCCACCTTTCCCGTCTTGCCAAGGTCTGGTGTGGCCCTCGCTGTGGCCTGCAAGCAGCCGTCCACGTTAGCACCTTGGACAGCGCGCCCGGGCAGGCCAGGGTTGGCTGCATAATCTCGCTTTGCGCTCTGCAGGTGCCAGCCTGCACGCCTCCCACCCACTCACTGACTCCAGCTCCCAAGTACTTGTCTACCTCGCACTCACGATTCAGCTCCGTCCTTTTTTTTTTTTTTTTCCCCCTCCGACGCCCCCTCACCCATCCATACTGGGCTCCCTCTCCCTCTCGGTTGCTCGGAGCTCTCCCGGCTGCTAGGACCCCTCGGTGTCCTTGCCTATTTAACCCCTCACTTCCACGGCTTCCAGAGCATTGCCACGTCTCTAAGCCCTAACTCCACCACACACATGCGCGCACGCACACGCTGACACGCACGTTTCCTGTCCCTGTGTGACACCCACCCTCCTCTGCTGAGCGACAGCGCTGGGTACCCTCCTCCCGCCACACTCACGCACGCGCGCTCAGGGCTGAGCCGAGGGCAGCTCGTTGGCAGTTCGCACTCGGAGGTGAACTGCTGCTCCATTCGCGCAGCGCCGATGGCATCTCCCGGCTCTGGCTTTTGGTCCTTTGGGACCGAAGAGGGCTCTGGGGATCCCGAGAACCCGGGCACAGGTAGGAGAACCGGGATGTGCAGCAGGCGAGCTTTGTGCCAGGACTCAGGTTTGCAGGGCTAGGGAGAACACGAATGGGGTTTTTCCACCTGCAGCTGAAAACTTCTCTGGACGCTTAGCCCTGTTGTTGGGGCTGATCCTTGACGACCCAAGAGACCGAGACCCTCTCGCCTCGACCCATGTTCCCGGGGTAGACACCCAAAGAGACTCAAGCCCTATACCCCGAAGGCTATGAACTACCCCCCCCCCCCATTGACGACGGCATCTCCCCGACACCGAATTCCGTGAGCTTGGGATGTTGTCACCATCTTGGTGTCTAGACCCTAGGAAAGGATGTAGTGGCGGTGGGGAAAAGGAAATGTGGGGAAGGGGAGAGACTTCATTATCTGAGAGTTTCCAAGGAAGTGGATTGCCTCGGTGCAGATGAAAACTCGCTTGAGCGAGGCAGGGAGAGGAGTTTGCCTGAACCTTTGGTACCTGGAAGGCAAATCCAAAAGACCCCATGTGAGTTTTTCCTTAGGACACAAATTACCATACTGAGGGTTCCCGCGCTCAACCTGCTCCTGCCCGCCGCGCCGAGCCTCGGGCAGTCACTCAGGAGGGAGGTCGCCCCTTACCGAACCCGGGGTTTATTGACGTTGTTCAAACGGAACAAAATTTCACAAGTCCGTGTGCTGTTCTCTTTCTGCCTCGCTGTCTGCTTGCCTTTCTCTCCCACTCCAGCAAGAGCCTGGTGCCAGGTAGCCCAGAAGTTCACAGGCGGCATCGGAAACAAGCTTTGCGGTGAGTGCCCTGGTTCCAGGAGAGGGGGGCGGGCTAGGCCCGGCGCTGCGCGGCCTGCAGGGCAAAGCTGCTTTCTCACCTCCTGCGTCTTCATCAGTGAAATTGGGGTTTCTTTGTCAGGGGCGGGAGGGGCTGGGGAGCTATGCGGAGCAGGAGACTCACCGAAGCCATCGCTCTGTGTCCTTGCCCAGCCCTGCTCTATGGAGACGCTGAGAAGCCGGCGGAGAGCGGTGGGAGCGAGCCCACGCGGGCATCCGCCCGGAAGGCAGTCTGCGCCTGCAACCAGAAGCCCTGCGGCTGCCCCAAGACAGATATCAACTACGCGTTTCTACAAGCAACAGGTAAAAGCTCCTGGCGAAGCCAGGGGGCGCGGCGCTGCCCCTCGCGCTGCCCCGCCCACCGCTGTCCGGGAGGGACAGGTGGCAGAGGAGCCCAGGTTGCGCTCGGAGGCGGGCTCTGCTTGAATCTTAGGTTGAAAGCGATATAAGCCAGGCATCCCTAACTTTCCCATTCCCCAACCCTGGCCTCTGCGCGGCGCTAAGCGCAGCGCTGGGTGAAGGCTCTGGGGCTGCTGTGCTCTCCCCTGAAAGCAGCCCAAGAGGCTACGGGTGAAAAAGGTGCTGGCGCGCGCCGGAGCTCGACGTCGGCTTCCCAGTGCAGCTGTAGTCTCGTGTAGGACTCGGTTTCCCGGTACAATACCAGTGAATTCAGTGTTGCTGACACGTTCTAAGTCTTTAGAAAGCGAGAATAATTGGTAGTACCAATTTCAGAGGAGAACGATTCCATTCGTGTGAGCTCTGCGCGTGAAGCTTTGCGCCAGTGCGCTTTACACCTTCCCTCATTCAAACACGCGCGCGTGCACAGACACTGCCTTTGGAAACAGTGAGTCTTCTTATCGGTCAAGAGATCTTTACCTTGCATGCTCCACTTTGGTTGGCTCGAAGACATTCTTCAAACATTTCTGACGTGAAATGTTCCCATAAACGTTTCGAGATGGTTTACTGGGAAACATTTAGGACTGTGAAATAGATGAGTGCAAGAACTCTTAGGAAAATTGAAACAAACAGTAAGTTATTAATTGAAATGCAAGAATTAATTTGGGGAGATCATATTTTTCCCAATTTATACCCTCCGTCCTTGAAAAATGCCTCCCCTTAAAGAAAATGCTCTGCATTTCCAAAGCATCTTTACACATAAAATCTCTCAGTTCAAAGAGAAATGGCCAAACCAAGATCATGCCTGAATTATTTCCACAGCAAAATTAAAATGTGATGTTTTAATTCATTAGACCTGCTGCCAGCATGTGATGGAGAAAGGCCTACTTTGGCGTTCCTGCAAGATATTATGGATATTTTGCTTCAGTATGTGGTGAAAAGTTTCGATCGGTCAACGAAAGTGATTGATTTCCATTACCCTAATGAGCTTCTTCAAGAGTATAATTGGGAACTAGCAGACCAACCACAAAATTTGGAGGAAATTTTGATGCATTGCCGAACAACTTTAAAATATGCAATTAAAACAGGTATTCTAATCAAAACTAAAATTCTTTTTTCTTTTACAATTTTCTTTTTTCTATAAAAATGTTTTGTGTTTTATGGAGTTACTGATATTTTCGAAATGGCAAAGTTATTTTCAGGCATTAAAAAAAGTCATTTAGAATGACTGAAAACAAAAACATCCTCTACTACTCGTGTGAATGCTTCTGAATTTCATAGTTTTGGTATCTGTAGTTTAAAGTATAGATGGTCAGAGTTCACACTGTTCCTATTTGGCTATGGAGTTTAACCACTGGTGTAGAAGCAACCATTTGTCAGCAGAGGCCAGTAGAAGCGACCTAAAATGAAGAAAGGAAAGGATATGGAAATGGAAGCTCAAAAAGCAGGATCCAAACAAAAGCCCAAATACCGGTGTTCCTGCTGGTAATTTCCTTGGCATACAAATGGTCAGAAACTGGATTAACCATCTTGTGTGATCACTGAGCAACAGGAATAATATTTTGACATTTTCTCAAATAGCCGAGCTTCAAATTTTAATTCTTTGTTGCCTCCTATTTTTAAAGAAATGTACACAAAAGAAAATGTAAGATGCACATAGACTAGTTTAGCAATTCAGCCATGTTACCATGTATGTTCTTCACAGCCTCTGTGCAGGTAAAATAAAGCAAACAAGATAAACGGATTTCCTCAGGGACAAATTGTTTAAAACGTATTTTATCAACTGAATATTGGGGTTTTTCTTGTTTGTTTGTTTTTACAATATTCTTTACATTCTATCTATTTTGTAGCCACTAGTGTAACATCTGTCTGGGCACATTCTATGCTTTCATTTTGTCAAAACAAAGCCAGCTATTCATGTCTGCCCAGGTCATGATTATCCCCTCATCTTCTGCACTGTCTCTAATAATCCTGATACATGCTGGCATGGTGATTCATAAAGCAATAAAAATAAATATAAATGAATATCTGGAGGGAAAAAAAAATTTAGAATTTACATTAAATTGCAGCCTTAAAAAGATCCGCTGGCAAATAAAAATGTAAAAAAGTCCATGGACTTTAATTACCATGGTAACTTGATCTGTTTATATTGCAAAAATTGGCTCGATGAATCAATAGCCTTCTAATAATAATTTTTTAAAAAATTAAGGATGCTTACTGTGAGACTTTGAGCTGTTTTGCACCTTCTTTATGCCAACAGTGGAAAAGGGTATGAATTGAAGCCTTGGGAAATCTGTGTACTAGTTCTCAGCATCCTCTTTTGTGAGACTGTATAGATTTAGAACTAAACATATAGGGGAAGGAATTTAACTAGGTGATTTCTATCAAATTCAGTCTATGGAGTGTGATTTTTGACAGCTCATTAGATATCCTTAATTAATGTTTGAGGTAACCAACATGATGCATATACCAGGCATGAAAAATGCCCCCCCCAACTTTCCATGTTTTTATAGGTACAAACCTGAAAACTGCTCTTAAATCATTTTTTAAATTTCCTTAATCTAATATTTAAATGTTAATAGTAAATTGTGACCTATTACTTTTGTTGCTACCAAACCAAACAGAATCCATAGAAATGTTTTACGTATCCAGTTTAAAAAGCTGATGGTGTTTGAAATGCAATTTAAGAAGATAAGATGGGAACTGCAAGTCTAGGAAAGGAATAGTTCTGTCCATCAGTGTTTCATTTAGTGTCAGGAAAAGAAGGATCAATTCAATACTTAGATTTTGCCATAATGCTTGTAAAACTAAGTGTTAGTCAAATGGAATTCTAGGGCCTTTTATTTAAAGTTCACATGAAAAATATAATCAAGTGGGGTTTTCTAAGCAAAGTATGTCAATGTGAATTCAGTGTCTCAGTATTATCCATACACTATTTAATCTTCTGGCCTTTCCTGCCCCACAATGGCATTTCAGAAAATTAACAGCAATCCCCTTCTCTTTTCAACTGGCATTTATAGATTTTTATGCCGTAACTGTTGCATCTGACAACCAGGATTATTTGGAGTCTGTCAAAGTAGTTAACATTCCAGCTACCATCAGGCATTTTAATGCTTCAGGAGAGATTCTTTTATAAGAAATATGTTATCACTAGATTTCTACTGAGAGTCCTTAACCTGATTTCCACTTGGGTTTGAAACTTAGAAGGCAGTGAGTGGCCGGTGGTAAGGAAATGTTTTAAAATGAAGTTTTCGTGTATTGTTAAAATTACTTCTAGAAGAAATGTTGAAACTGAAAACTGTAGAGAGGATAGAATTCTGGAATAGTTAACATTTGCAGGGGTCATCAGATTTGGTAGTGGGAAAGAGGGGATAGTGTTTTCTTGAATCTTTTAACCAAATCATCAGACAAAGGGAATTGTCAATGAATGAGGATGTTCTTGCGTCTGCGTTGCCATAACAAAAAGAGTAGTTGGGACCGAACTTTTGCTCATTTCCCCAACTAATTGTGGACCCCAGGGTCAGAGCTGCCTGTGACCGGTTATTTCAGCATCCTTCCTGGCTCGTTTGCTAAACTGTGGGAGTGTTCCAGAGGCGGAGCAGTTGAGAGCATTCCAATCCAACATCTGACTCTAGGTCTTGCTGGCTGGGGCAGGTGTGCATGGTGACCGATTCCTGGGCACTGCGTGCCTGTGCTCTTAGCGGAAGGGCCCAGAGGGTGGCAGCAGGAGAGAGCTGAGGGCTACCAGGACGCTCGGTTGCACAGACTCTGAGGCGAGTCTCTCACCGCCCTTTCTCTCAATGAGCCCTGGCTGGATTCGCTGGGCAGCCCTATGAGGCAGCACCTGTAAGGGTCACAGAAAGCGAGCAAATGTAATTAAAGGAATATTTCTGCAGAAATTACAAGGGCATGTTGTTCTGACCGGTCAAACGATCTCCATGTTTGCAAATCATCATCAGTGAATAAAAATTTTGAGACTAGAAAGATCTAGGTGAAATGGCAGAACATGGTCATAAAAGTACAGAATAAGGGCAAGCAAGCAATGGGAGCATCAACCGTTTTCACAGTGTACCAGAGGTAGTCATGGGGTGGATTGGCCTTCTGATATTCTGGGGTCACAACATATACCTTGCAAGGAACCTCTCAATTTTAAGCAGAGTTTTTCGTACCAAAGTTTCCATAGAGTCAAATAGTGTGTGGCAATAAACACAAGATTCATCTAGAAAATCATATGGTTGAAAGAGTAGATTAACAGATAGGTTTGCTAATCCTTGTTAATTTCTTCTCTTTAAGAAAGGGTTTAGGGAAAGAGAAATGAGGGGACATGGAGAGAGAAAGTGGCTATGATTTCAGCTGTGAGCTGTAATGAAATGGGGAGTCAATGAGGCAGAGAGGAGTGGGGGGCTGTTCCAGATGGCAGCAGCAGCAGAAGCCAAGGAGGCTTTTTCAGTTTTCAAGGATGGGTAAACTGACAGGGGTCAGCATCACAGGGCCTGGAAAAGAACAAAAAGATAGAAGGGCACTGTGCAAGGCCATAGAGAGGTAAGACAATGCCAGAGATTGGACAAGAGACGCATGAATCCCAAGCCCTTTAAAATGTGCACGTTCCCAGCTCCTATCTCTCCTTGGCATCTAATTCTCCAGCCACATGCCTAAGGCTGATAAGACAGCACTCCAGTCTGGGAGATAACTGTGTGTTGACTTTTGTCCCTGCCTTCCTTTATCTTGTTTTCCCATGCTGACTACTGAGACTATCATATCCCTGGGCTTAAGACAGGTGTCCAGAAGGTGGCAGATACCCTTTTTCTTTTTTTTTCAAAAAATCAGATTCTGTTTCCGTAATTGTTAATCTTCCAAAGTTTTTGCTGCTAAGCAAATCACCAAATTGTAGATAGACTTTTATGGGACAAAATGGGGAAACAGAACTCTAATGACATATTCATAATTACATTTTAAATAATAGCCTTAAGAGTATTAAGATATCAATCCCCTTGAGAGAGTTTTAGCAAAATCTAGAAGTTAATTAGATAAGCCCTGCTAATGGACTGACCAGTCTGGTGAATATATCTTCATGTATCATGTTGACAAGACAATGATGTTGCCTGTATTCAGCTTTATTTTAAATCACAGCTAGGAGGGAGCTCTCTTGTTTATAACCAAATATTCTGACAGAGAAGAATTGACAAGCATTAGCTTTGTCCATGCCATCTTTGGACAATCATCACCTTCTAAATCCACGGCAAATCACTCAGCAGAGTGTCCTATTTTCTCATTTTTGCCCCATCTTTTGTAATCATCAGCCATTTGTCACTGATATTATTATGAATGTTGGCAGGCCTCTCAGATGTCATGGTATGACTGATTATCAGAACAACTACCACAAAAAAGGATTTTTAGAAGCATCAGTGTAAACAAGAAGTGGCCTGTCTTTGCATTGCTTTGGATGGAATTAGCATTTTTAGTTTACAAGTGTAGTGAAAGAATGGTAGGAAATAAACTAATGTCCAGATTGCAAAGTATGTTTGTATTTTTTATTTTTTTTATAGGGTATGTTTAAGAAATACTAAAACCCAACGTTAGTAGTCTCTCGTTAGAGGGAAATGCTTTTGTGATGTGTCTGTGTGTCTCTGAATATGGATGTCCTGTTATGGGATGATCTGTCAGAGTTCTTTGGCTAGACAAATCAGGTATCGGAGAGGCATTTATTTTCATTGAATCAATTCAGAATGTGGTGTTCCATTTTTTTTCAGGGCATCCCAGATATTTCAACCAACTTTCCACTGGATTGGATATGGTTGGATTAGCAGCTGACTGGCTAACATCAACAGCAAATACTAACATGTAAGTAGCTAGATAGGTTTTTGGATAATGCAGAGTAATTATTAGTAAGATTCCATAGTTTTAACTCCCAAGTTAAAAATCTTTTTATTAAGTAGCTTTTACAGTAGTAATATGAGAAGTAGATTGTTCATTTTAGCTTAATAGAAAATAGTTTTGAAATATCTCTCATGTGATTAAATTTATACAAAAATTTTAAAATACAAAATATGTTTTTTATTGGCATTGGGGTTAATAATTGTGTATAATGTGAAATTCAAATGAGACCAAACATTGTGTTTTAAATGGTATTAATCTTTGTTATTCTTTATATATTCAGTATGAAAAATGATCATTATGCATTTGTCAGTAATTTAAGTGCTTGACTGTAGGGATGTAGGAAATCAAGCAAACCTTCTGGAAGACATTATTTTCTCTCTGCTGAATATTACAATTGTGGATATAGTGCTCTAAAGGGGTAATAGTTCTGTAGATATTGTAAATGATGAATTATTTCTTTGATTTACATATATAAAATGTGGCCATTACTACATTTCAGGTTCACCTATGAAATTGCTCCAGTATTTGTGCTTTTGGAATATGTCACACTAAAGAAAATGCGAGAGATCATTGGCTGGCCAGGGGGCTCTGGCGATGGGATATTTTCTCCTGGTATATGATATTTCAACCTTTCTTTGTGTTTTTCCTCTGATGTGCAATGTCTCATCATGTACCCAGGAAAGATGAAAGATCTGATCAATATTTCTGTTTAGGTTAAATAGGCTGATTTAATCAAAAGCATGAGTGTCATTAAGTGTGCATGGCCATTGGACGTGCCTCCACGCTAATGACCCCAGGCATTAACTTTAGTAATTTATGTTCATAAAGAGCATAATCGAAGATGATACTTACCCAGTATTTCTACTGTGATTCTATATGCAGGATGTATGAATCCTGTGGAAGAAATTAATAGATTCCGAATAAGGGAAAAATCACTCTCTGTTGCTCTTCCCAGAATGAGCAAAAGGAAAAAAGGTGTCATTTAATAAAGGCTGCTGTATTTGAGGATGCATAACAAGGCAGATCTGTTTAACAGAGTGCATGTACCCTCTACTCCTTTCACATAATAAGAGTAGCTGATGTATGCTAATTTCAAGGAGGGCAGAGAAAGCGTCAGGAGGTACTTTCTTAAAGCTCAAAAGAGGGCAATGATTTCTTCAAGAGGATTCTCATTCCTTCTCTTCTTTATCACACCATTTAATCTTTTCCTTCCTGCCTTTTATCCCAAACCATTGCATTCCAAGCTCCATTATTTAATCTTTTCCAGCCAGGAGGATCAACCAGAAGCAGAAAGTCCTGCCCTTGGATCCCAGGTCTGTGTGTGACCTTGGTTTAGCACAGAGAGGAAGTTAGGAAGGCAATGGGAAGAGCAAGCCACTGACCCCATGGCAAGAAAACCTAGTCTGTAGACCATCACCTGAGAAGTTGCAAGAGGAAGAGGCCGTCAGAAAGGGATGGGTGCTTCCCTAGGTTTCAAGACACTGAGAGTGACTCTGCTGGAGAGGCGAGAGCCTCACCTGCCATTATCCTAGATTTGTTGTTGATGTTTGTTGCCTACAAGTTGATCCTGACTCATGGCTGCCCCCTATCTGTCACAGTAAAACTGTGTTCCATGGAATTAGGAACTCTGGTGGTGCAGTGATTAAGGCATTTGGCTGCTAACCAAAAGGTCAGTGGTTCAAACTCAACAGCTGCTCCACAGGAGAATGATGAAGCAGTTACTATGAGTCAGAATTGATATGATGGCAATGCGTGGACCTTTCAGAAGGAAATTGCCAGGGCTTTCTTCAGAGACACTTCTGGATAGATTAGAACCACCAGCCTTTCTGCTAGTAGTCTAGCACTTAATCATTTGTGCCACTCAAACACCTATGCCAGTCTTAGTAAAGGCCAAGTCCTGATCTCTTTTCTGCAAATCTACAAAAGCCAAGAGAGGAGAATGAAAACCAAAACCCCTTGCTATCTAGTCGATTCTGACTCAGTGATCATAGGATAGAGTAGGACTGCCCCAGAAGGTTTCCTAGGCTGCAATCTTTACAGAAGCAGATTGTCACATCTTTCTCCTGTGGAGAAGCTGGTGGCTTCGAACTATCAACCTTTTGGTTAGCAGACAAGGACTTTAATGACTACACAATCAGGGCCCCAGGATAAGGACAGATGGGGAAAAAGGAAAAGGGGAAAAGAAGAAATGGTGAACAGGCAACGGTGGCCTCAAAGCCAGAGCTTAAATTGAGCAGGTCTGCTATTTTGTTTTATATTTTTCAAGATATGGCACAATATTTTTAGGGGCTGAAGGGAAATGTGTTAGTTAAATGGAAGGAAAAGTTAGTCTTTTTTTTTTTTTCCTTTTTTTGGAATCATTGAACACCAGTTGTGATGAATTTAAACTGACCTTTATTTTATAGTAGAAGAAAGGCCTGGCTATCTACTTCCAAAAAAATCAGCCACTGAAAACTCTATGGAGCCCAGTTCTACTCTGACACACATGGGTCAGCATGAGTGAGAACTGACTCAACAGCAACTGGTTTATTTGGTAGGGAATGTAGTATTTAGCTTTCCTTTGGAAAATCATTTCCTGTCAAGGTGGCTTTGTCATCATTACCTGGGACTGAGGCTTCTAAGGTGGTTTTCATAATGAATTAGGTAGAATTCAGAGATCAACACTATTGCTACTTTTATTCTCTTTTCCTCTTAAATAGTTGGTGGTGGGACCTGAATTGCCCCTAAGGAAATGGGGAGCAGCCTGGCCTCTCTTATGCTGGTTCCCAGGAGTAGGGAGAAAACCATTGCTCTGTGTTGACCCTGAAAACTTGACTAAGGGGGCTGACAGGGCTATGTACCTGACTCATCTGGTAACTCACATGCCCCAAAAAATATACCCAAAGAAAGTATCTTCTTTGGCAGTTCTGCTAGGCCAAGTATGGCTGTGGGGCTTGTCCCCATCTTCATCAATGATGAGGAATTATCCAGTAGAGAACACTCAGACTTAATATTGGGGTTCCTTCCCTGGAGCCTAGAGACCATAGGCCCTCACCCCAAGATGGGACTCAGATGTCATGCCACAGTGCAATTGCAAAGTGGACGAGGGCAGCAGAGCAGGTCATGGGCAACCTGTTTCTGCTCTGCCTTCTGTAAGGCATCACAGATGAGAGATGGCCTGTAGCATCCTTACTTGCTAATTAATGCTTTTTAAGGTAGCACCCAGCCTTGATTTTGGGCTAAGGGTCTTAAGATTTAAGGGACAAGGAGAAATCACACGTCTTATGTCCCTGAAGTCTAAAAGTCCCATCCCCTGGAACTAAATGTGAAAAGAGAAGTCTGTGACCAATTTGAATACGTAGCTTGGCTAGGCTTCCCTCATACTTCAATCTGTAACAACCAGAGGCTTCACACTTCTGAAAGTCTTTTGGGAATCCTGGAAGAAATCTGATTAAGTGATAGCACCTACACCTAAGAATCAGAGAGAATTGGAGCACTCCTCACTGAGCAGCAAGTCATGAAGGACTAGGGGGAAGGTGTGGCTTAGTCACAGACCTTTTTCTACCTAACAAGATTTTCAAATGTTCCAGAACTTGTTTTTGTGTCCTTTCTCTGGAATGTTCTAGGGAAATAAGCATGCAGGACACACACATCTGTCCTTATGTTGTGCTGCATAAAAGCAATCAGCTCTAGCCAGAGGCCCAGAAGCCTCTTCCTCTCTCTCAGGGATGCTGAGTCTTTAGACAGAGGATAACCCAGCTTCAGAAGAAACAGTGGGAAGGCAGGACTGGACACTTCTTGGATAATTACATCATGCAGTGTGATTTCTTTATGTACATCTTCCCTTGTTTCTTCTCCCTTTCTCCCTCCCTGAGCCTTCCTGAGAGGAACAGCTAGAGCATTGGTTCTCAACCAGGAGCAATTTGGCCACCAGGGGAAATTTGGCAAAGTCTGGAAACGTTTTTGATTCTCAGTACTGGGTGTTGGGACAGGGGTGGTGCTACTAGCACCTAATGGATAGAGTCCAAGAGTGCTGTTAAATATCCTATAATGCACAGCCCATGCACAGCCTCTGACAACAAAGAATTTTCCAGCCCCAAATGTCAGTGGCTGATATTAGCCACTAGCAAGAGCGAACACACCTTTAAATGCTGACCAGTTGTCCAGCAACTGAAAAGGTGTGAAAGGGTGTATGCTCAGAGCAGGCTTGACCTGGATTCTGTGTGTCCCATGTCTCTGGGGTACAGAGGAGATAGGAATTGCCCTCGTTCTGATGATGGAGTTCAGGATCTGGGTGATCACCTCTGTGCCACACAGGCTAATGAGATAAGGCTCTGCATGGTCCAGTCATCTTGACACAGAGAACCCTTTTGTTCACAGCCATCAGAATGGAAAGCAGCTCAGAGGACCCATGTGGTGGCAGGGCCCAGGGGTGTCTCCTTTGGGTAGGAGAAGAAGATAGTACCTTCAGTCTGCTTCCCGGTCTCATGCCTTCCGTGTCAGCTCATACTCATTCGCATTCACATCAGTCTATCTTTTTCTGGATAACAAAAATCCTCAGCTTCCCAGCAACCCTGGGGAAAACTCACATTTTGCTTATTAAGTGAGTTTCATATCCAAGGTATGGTATGAAATCTCACAATTTTAGGATGCCGTAGAAAAAGTAATTCAATATGGGCTTAAATTTCCCTTAATTGTGTGTTTTCCTCTAATTACAAAATAAGATTTTGTTAACTATTACAATTGTATTTCAATGATGTAGTCGAGGGAAGAACAGTCTTGGGGAATTAACAGATGAGAATGATGAGATAGGTTTGGATGTTTAGCCAGCATTCTATATGATTGTTGATTAACAGCCCATACCATTAATAGCACCTGATTTGTCTCAGTCCAAGTGCAAGGCATTTCATGAGCTAAAATGAAAAGAATTGAGTTTTCACTCAAAATATGGGATTTTCATAGGCCTAATGCACAATTACCACCCTCACGAGCTGGGAATGAAGGCAGAATTTCTCTCTTCTTTAAAGCATCCTTTGATGGAGCAGAATCAATTGCCATTTCTCTTAGTGAAGCAGTGGGCTTTGGAGGGGTAGCATTTGTGCTATGGTTGGGCCCGATCTGCCCTCTCTGAACTTTCTTAGCTCTTGCCTTTGAGTCCCAGGAAGACGCTAGATCAGTTGAAGTGAGGAATGTTGCTTGCATGTGAAATAATATCGATAACGAACGGGAAAAGTAACAGCATTGCTGTGCTCTTTAGGTGGAGCCATATCTAACATGTACGCCATGCTGATTGCACGCTTCAAGATGTTCCCGGAAGTCAAAGAGAAAGGAATGGCTGCTGTTCCCAGGCTCATTGCTTTCACATCTGAACATGTACGTGTCTTTCTTCTTTCTAAGTTTAAGGCTGTATTATGTAAACCCCAACTTGAAGGAAAGCTATCTGGACATGCTTTATCGCCAAAGGTTCTCTTTCTGGCATATACATCTTGGGAGAGAATGAGGGCGTGGGGACGGAGTGGGAGGTGGGCAGCTGAATGGTACCAGGACGTGCCCTCCTTGTCTCTGAAATTTAGGAGGACCCTGAAAGATAAAGCAGAATATTTTCAACATCTATACTTCCCTTCTCTGTAATAATGTGTGCTGGGGAGAGGGGAAGAGGGAGAGTAGAGTCACTATGCTCAAAACTCCTATTGATACCTCTCTGTTCGAAAATTCAGTCGGTTGATTGTGGTGCCTGGAAATATTTAATGTTAAGCTGTGGCTGACTAAGGAGCTCTGGTGATGCAGTGGCTAAGGCATTCAGCTGCTAACCAAAAGTTCACCAGTTTGAACCCACTGCCACTCTGTGGGAGAAAGATGAGGCCGCCTACTTTCAGAAAGATATATCGCCTCAGCAGCCCTGTGGAGCAGATCTACACTGTCTACAGAGTTGGTGTGAATTGACTCGATTACAATGGGTTTTGATTTTTGGCTGACTTGACCAGAGGTTTTATCATTGTATAGAAATAGCACTGTTGTTGTTGTTATGTGCCGTGGAGTCAGGCCTGACTCATAGCGACCCCTCCTTGGGTTTCCGAGGCAGTATCACTACAGAAGTAGGATTGCCCAACCTTCCTTCCGAGGAGTGGCTGGTGGATTTGAACCGCCAGCCTTCTGGTTAGCAGTCAAGTGCCTTAGGCACTATGCTACCAGAGCTCCTACAAATAGCACTAGGTTCTGGTTTCTGGGTCAGAGTTACCTCAGCCAAACATGGGCTGCAGTCTTCTCCAGGCTGTTGCCCATACAGGAAGGTGATAGCTCTGGTCTTCTTTGATGAACCCCATGTTATAGTCCTTATTTTCCTTCAGTGGCCTTCAGAGAGTTCATGCACTTCCCACTACTATCACCTGGACACTAAAAAAGCAGGTTCATCCTGTTCATGTAAATTGAGCTAAACTACTTCACAGTGGCCTGGTAAGTAGTTTCTCTCTCATGCTAGGGGAAAGCAGCCAACTCTACAAGGCCCCACTGCCACTATTTGAGCAGCGTCTTGATCACAGAGCACCTGCAACCAACCAGAGACCTGTTCCTGGACAGGCATTAGATAAGCACTCCCCACTCTGTAATTTATAAGATTATTTATCATTACCTCTGTCTCAAAGTAGCCTAGGGTCTGGAAACTAATTGCCTCACAGATAATCAATAAACCCTGTGATTGCTGGGGAAATTGGAGAAGGGGAAGGAAAAGAGGAGTTATTGGAGACTAGGGGCTCCTCTAAGGTGATCACAGTCAGGAGGAGCAGGGAGCCATAGTGGGTCTCAGATCTACCATTGAACTTTTATATTTCCTGTTTTAAGTTGTATGTGTGTTCCTAGCAGAGGCACTCTAGTGGTGCTGTAGGTAAGGCATTTGGCTGCTAACCAGAAGGCTGGCAATTCAAACTCACCAGCTGTTCCTGGGAGGATGATGAGGCAATCTACTTCCATAAAGATTTACAGCCTTGGAAACCCTATGGGCGTTGCTATGAGTCAGAATCAATGGCAGTGGGTTTGGTTTTGGCTTTGGTGTTCTTAGCAGGGAAATTAAAAGCCAGTGAATACGGTTCACAATGACAGCACTGCCCAGGAAAATAAAAGGTATGTTACCAAATTATTTATAGCATTTTAATTTCACTCATGTTTTTGCATTTTGTTATTTTTAAAATATGCCCTTCCTCAATTTATAGGGGTTGAATTTAGCAGAAGGCTACAGCCTGGAATTACCTAAAATAGTACTTTCTCATTGCTGCCGAAACAAATCACCACACTTAGTGGCTTAAAACAACTTGAACTTACTGTTTTATAGTCTGGAGGTCAGAAATCTAAAATGGTCAGGCAGGACTTGGTTCCTTCTGGAGTCTCTAGGGAAGAATCTATTTTCTTGCTTTTTCTAGCTTCTAGACAAAGCTTTCCTTGGTTTGTGGCCACTTCCTTTATTTTCTAAGCCAGCAGTAAAACATCTTCATTTCTCTCTCCCCTTCTCTTCCTTGGATCTCTTCCTCCGTTGTTGTTTCTGACTCTGCGGTCTCCTTTTTTGCCTTCTAAGGACCCTGGTGATTACATTGGGCCCATTCTAATAATTGAGGATAATCCAAAATCCTTTACCTAATCATATCTGCAAAGTACTGTGTGCTATGTAAAGTAACATTCACAAGTCTTGGGGATTAGGATGTACATATCTTTGAAAAAAAAAATAAACTCACTGCCGTTGAGTCAGATCCAGCTCATAGCGACCCCTCCTTGGGTTTCTGAGGCAGTATCAGTACGGAAGTAGATTGCCCAATCTTTCTTCCGAGGAGTGGCTGGTGGGTTTGAACCGCTAGCCTTCTGGTTAGCAGTCAAATGCCTTAGGCACTATGCCACCAGAGTATATATCTTTGAGGGAGGCATTATTCTGCCTACTACACCTACTATCAGTGTTGGATTACCCAATAAGCAAGGTAAGCATGGGTTTACTTGTGCTTACTTACTAATCTATATAAACAATTTGACATTTTTTTTCCACCAAATCAAAGATTCTGCTTCTAGGTATGGCTGGCACCTCTTTCCCAACTTCACAGCACCTTCCTACAGAAACAAAATTTCTTTTCAAATTTACAATCCCTGATAGAGACAGAGTACTCAGTAAGCAAGGTAAGCAGGGGCTTCCTTGTGCTTATTTACTAATCTGTAGTAAACAGTTTTACATGGGTTTCACCACATCTTTAATTACTAAGTATACTTGCTTTATTCTCATTCTTTGATGTGGTGAAAACACATGTTTTTCACCACATCAAAGAATAAAACGTGAAACCCATGTGAAGCTGTTTACTACAGATTAGTAAGTAAGCACAGATAAGCCAAGCATACCTTGCTTATTGTATAATTTGCCCCTGCCTAGTACCCCCACCATTTTATAACATTCATCTCTCAGCTTCTACAAGGGTATAAACACATGATAAAGTTTTTTTAAATTTCTTTCTAATTATTTCTCTGAAGAGATTTGGATCTCTATGTAGTTAAATGTTACTACATTTTCAGCCTTAAAAAGCCAAAGGGATCTTAAGATGGGCATCTTTTCCTTTTGACTTCCATGTTGTGTACACAACTTAAAACAAAGTTTGTTCTCCAACAAGCTGGCCTGTGCTCTCTCCTTGACATCACTCTGTTTTCTACATGGGCTTCTCGGGCTTTACATAAATTGGCTTAGCCTTACCCTGAAAGTCAGCTATCCTGTGTGATCAGAGGATAATTTTGCTAAACCTTCTTTTCTTGATATTGCAAACTTGGAGTCTATTTATTTCTAACGGAAAGAAAGGTGATTCAGCTATAAAACACCTATTCAGTTCTCCCTCCTCCTTCCTGTCTGTGCACATAATTATGGAAGAACATTTGAATTATGAAAGTTTCCTAAAATATTAATTGGTTCTAACTGCAGGCTTTTCACTTTTGACAGATGAACTATTATTCTAATAATAGTTCTAATTAATGTTTGACAGTTTCCAAAATACTTCCAGTACATATAAGCTTATTTGATTCTCACAGCAACAATATGGGGCAGAACAGAGATTGTTATCGGCATTTGTAAAGGTTTCATGGCCAGTCAATGACAGAACCAAATCTACAGCCTCAGTTTTCCAACAATCCCATCACTGCTTTATTTAATTTTGTTTTTATTGTGATTTGTGTGAAAGTTCACAGAGCAAATTCATTTTCCATACAGCAGTTCATACACATTTTGTCTCATGACATTGACTGCAATCTGCAATTCCCCATGACGTTACAGCTCTCTTCCCACTACCTTCCTGTAGTTACCTCTTCCCTGTGTCCTTCTTTCCTTTGCATTCCTGTCCTAAAACTGCTTTTTCAGTGACCATGTTCAGATAGCCTAAACGCTGCTCTCCAGCTGCCTGCTGCACATTCACTTATGGCATCTTTTCTCAAGTCCCATTTTGCATGTTGACCATTCTAGGGCTAATATAATTTCCTGGTCTATTGACCCAGGTCAAGTTACTGTCCTTTGTGCTATTCTGAACACGGATCCAACCATAAACTGCATACTCAGGTAAGAAAGTATCATCTTTTGTTTTCTAAATGACTTTTCACTCTCTCTCTTTTGCGCACACACTGTCTCCCCATTTCCTTTCTAGTCGTTAGCAGACACTAGATCTTCACTTTGCTGATGAAAAGGGCAAGCTATTGAATTTTTCTCTTTGTTCAACTATTTTCTTACAAAACTTGAAAAGTACTAAATTAAACAAATGGTACTGCTTGAACTACGTTCAAACCAAAAAAAAAACAACCCAAACTCACTGCCGTGGAGTGGATTCCAACTCATGGTGAGCCCTCCTTGGGTTTCCAAGGTGGTATCACTACAGAAGTAGGTTGCCCAATCTTCTTTCTGAGGAGTGGCTGGTAGCTTTGAACTGCCAGCCTTCTGGTTAACAGTCCAATGCCTAGGCACTACACTACAAGAGCTCCCTGAACTGCATTGTTGTTCTTGTTGTTATGTGCTGTTGAGTCAGACTCAACTCATAGCGACCCCTCCTTGGGTTTCCGAGGCAGTATCACTACGGAAGTAGATTGCCCAACCTTCCTTCTGAGGAATGGCTGGTGGGTTTGAACTGCCAGCCTTCTGGTTAGCAGTCACGTGCCTTAGGCACTATGCTACCAGAGCTTCTCTGAACTGCATTAGAACTGCTTTACAAGTGGAGAAATCAGTGAGTGGAAACAAGAGATGGCAGTTAAGCTATGAGTAAAGAGTTCCAAGGCTATTTTCCTCCAAACAGTATAGGTTCACAGATTCTCAGAATTGGGAGGGGTCTTAAAAGTCTCTGGTTCAACACCCATCCTTTGCTGGAATCTCATCACCTTTC